ATATATAAATATAGCTATTTGGTTGGTTATTTTAGAGCAAAGCCACATTGTTCAGTACTGGTACTGATTTAAAGTATATCATATATTGAGAATAATATCTGTTATCACATATCCCATCTTTGGGAGGATCCAGATGTTAATCTAGTTATGAATAACAAACTTTAATGTCATACATACAGTACCATACAGATATGGAAGTTGTTTATGTGTATGCTATTTTTAATCATTAATATATTTCAATTTCATCCATTGGCTGAGAGATATTCACTATCCACTTGTCAAGTTACCAGAAAAAAAAACAATGTTTGATCAGGTATAATTTATTAATTTTCCCTGTAAATAAATATATATATATATCTTGTTTTAATGATTTACTGCATTGTTAAGACTGTATAACATACAAATTAATAAGAATAGTAGTCCAGAGAAGTTTAGGCTTAGATAAATGAGTAGAAACATTAGTGACATTTATTAGAAATTCAGACTTTAATATGGAATCAGAGTAATGTCTACTGTAACGATTAATAAAAGATTCCACAAATTAAGCAACTAAATTCTAATCATCACAATAAAAGGAAGAACTAAAGACTTTGAAAGTTCTGCTGATGGTTATGTGACACTGAAAAGGCCTTATTATAACTGCTCAGAAAACAGTTAAGTCAAGTTATTAATGCAGTCTGCTGCCAATACATTTCAATGGTTTGAAATGTCAAATGACAACCAATTCATTGAGCAAGTTATCCACTTTAACAAGTGCAAATGTGTTCCATCTGTTGAATATATTTTTCAACCAACACTGAGAGAGTAACTTTAAGAAATCAGTTTGTTCTAATTTCACGAATGACTAATACGAAAAACACTTAATTACAAAAAAAATCTATTTAACCTGTTAGAAACAAGTATGAAGCACTAATTGTTCATCAATAATACAAAAACAAAACAGCAATATATATTGACCTATCTTTTGGTCTGTACCCCTAAGTTGGATGTTAGGTTTTTGAGAGAATTTGTGGTTATTTTATATTTTAATTAATTTTTTCCAGAAAGTTAAATTAACTATATTTTATCTAAGGTTTGGATATGTTGCATAAAATTCATGCTATCTTTCCTTTTGGTGTAATCTGTTGTGAGGGTTTTCTAGCTTATTGAAATAATTATATATAAATACATATATATGAATTAATTTATGTTGATTGTTTATTCACATACCTTGTTATTTCTTTTCATAGAGAAGTTTTTCCATTCCATTGAATCACACTTGAAATCATTGTCTCCAATTTTGATTTGTTTATCTCCTGAACACCAGTACTTTCCTTCAGTATGAACATTGTTTTCATCATCATTTCGTAGGGTCATTTCTCCAACCTGGACATTTTCTGGTTTATATAGGTACTTTTCAACTGCTAATGAAGTATAAATATTAAGAATGAAACTTCAGGCAAAGATAGGTATGCTTAAACTTCCTTTAAGATTATTTACTTTTACACTTAAAAAACTGATCTTTCTAATTTAAACATTGAGAAAATGCTTAACCAGTATCTCTGATATAAAACTGTAAGCAGCTTCAACATCATAAAATTTTGCTTACCAACCTTAAAAGTCTAAATATTTAAATAAAAAAACTGGGTTTTGATACCTATGGTGGGTGTAGCACAAACAGCCCATTGCATATCTTTGCACTTAATAACAACCAAACCAAACCTAAGTATTTAAAAAGTCACAAAAAATCCATTTTTATTTACTGAAAACATATAATAGTAAAAGCAACAGATATTTAATTAGTGACTGAATTGATTCAACAGTGGAAAAACTTTATTTTTGTATTAAAACACTAAGATTGCCTCTATAAAATTATGAATTAGCACTTATAATATAAGCTTACAATCTGGAATATTAGAAATTGTAGAAAAAATGAATTCGTCATGATCCCAGTTTCCTTCACAGCTTCCTTTATCGGTACAATCTGTAAAATAAATGATATTTGCTACAGATGTAATTATTTGAGAAAAAATATATATACCATTATTATTATCATCATCTATTAAATGTGATTAATATATATACATATATTCCTTTTAATAGAATTATACATTGTTTTCTAATATTTCACTGTTACAAAATCTATAATTTACATACATTGGCATTATCTAAATCAAAACTTTCATAAAAATCAAACACAGCATGGTTAACATAAAATGGAAATATTAAACTTAATTTATATCACACTGAAAGTTATAAACTGCAAGTCCATTTTTCACTAATTCAAAAATTAAAATAAGAGAGAATCTGTATGCAACACAGCCAAATAGTGTTATATTTACTTCTAATGAAAAATCACAACAATAAATTAACTCAATAAACTAAGCTGTAAACAATTTTAAAACAAAAGTATTTTTAAACTGGAGAACAACTTCTAATAAACTAAATTCCAGTTAAACACGCATCAGAAAACTAGAAGTCACTTATTTTGTTCAATAATGCATTTGGAAGTTATTATTGCTTAAACTTTACTCATACAGTGTACTAACTTTGATTTTCTCCAATGATAAGAAAATAAAATTATCAGATTTACAACCTTAAAACATCAAAACATTTTATATTGAAACTAATAAGTGGTAATAAATTAGAAAATAAACAAATAGTGAAATTAGAAATTCAATGATACTTAAAATTGATTCTAATGTCAGTTGGGAACTTTATCGTGCAATACCAATCTAGGTTTCAGTAAGCACACATTAAAAGCCAATAAGTAAATGGCTTTAAAATGTTTTAATAACCATGCAGTATATCAAAAATAAATTAATTTTCTGGTGCTGCTTACTGTTCAGTGAATAATATCTATGTTAACATTTGACATGGACACTAGATAGAACTGGATATTATTTCTTAGGTGGGGTATTCATTTTATGTAGTTGTTTTTATTTTTTTAATATATCTGAAGTGTTTGAGACTTCATAGGATTTTGGTTAAATTTGTCATTCCTGTTTATATCTAACTGCATTTTTTCAGTGCAAAACTAATATACAAGTTCTAGTTTAGGTAACAGAACTGAAACCATTATGAGCTATAAATACATCAAAACCAGCTATTAAAAGTTGTGCAACAGTCTCCTGTATTTTATACAATCTAATCACCATGACAGTATATATACTATAACTCTGAAAATGTTTAATATATTTTCACAAAACATTGCAAGCTTTTAGTAAACATTACAAGTCTTTTGGACATAAAAATCGTTTTTTTTTTATTAAGTATTTTTACTCAAAATTCGTCCACGAATATAAGTCGGAGCATTGACTGCTACGGGTGCACAGTGATTTTCATGTTAAAATTAAAAATACTTTTCTTTATTTGAAAATTGGGAACCTCCTACAGAAATATCAAACTTTTTTTCAGTAAAACTTCATACCTTATCAATTATTTTCTCCATCCTATCTATTTACACACATATTTGGTCAAGTTGACTGACCTCATAATCACCATAAAAATGATTCATATGAAATAAATTTAAATTACCCTTTTCTCTAAATAGAATGACTGCGCATTGTAACATGAAGCTAAAATTGATCATTATAAATAGCTTAAAGCTCATATAATAAAATAATTGCGTAGGCGAGGAAAAAACAAAATATAAAATAGAATATAGTGTAATAGTGAAAAACTCGACAAATTAGAATAATTTTATTGATATAACATGAAAGCAACATTACAGACAATAGCCATTCATCAGTTTTTCCAATGACTGTTAATCCCTTTGGAATGAATGAAGAGTTCTCTTTTCTTTAACTTTATCCTTTCCATTTCCCCACACTACACTTTATCTATACTTTCTCACACTGACAATTTGTGTGCACAACATTTTTGTTCAAGGTAGGCACTCTTTTTTCCTCTTTAAGCCCATTCACTTTAGTCACCCACTTTTGTTATCTTTTTAATTGCTTTTGACAGTCGTTCTTCATTATTATCAAGTTTCAATGTTTTCTATTGTTGTATTCCTTTGAACAATATTACCTGATGTACATGTTCATTCATTTCCTTACACTGTTGCCTGTATTCATGTTCTAATTTTTCTTTTTGATTTAGTTTATTTACTATGATTTACTATATTTATACATTTTTCTTTACCAAATTATTATTATTAATTTTTGTTTTTAATGTTACTTCCCTTAGCTTATTTGTAGCTTAGGAATTTGTTCTCAAGCCTTCAAGCCATCTGTTACTTGTTCTTTAAACTTAACCCTTCTATTAACAGTTTCATTCAAACTGAAAACCCGATGAAGGGCTGTTGCCCGAAACATTGTTTTTGTGTTTCATCAATAAGATTATTTTAATTTGGCGAGTTTTTCACCATTACTTTATGTTCTATATAGCTTAAAGCTCATACCAATATACATTTGTTTATACTTAATTATATTGTTTTATTACCCCTTTGAACCATTTCTAACTAATAATACCACCACATAAGTTGTAAGTTACTTAGAAAATGCAGTTCACATTACCCTATCAAATTACCTCAAGCATATCTCATGAAGTTTTATGATTATCTTTTTTCATTGTCTTACCTAATATAACCTTATCTAACCTAATAAGTTTCTAATTTTCATATTTTAGTTACTTTTATGATAATAAATAAAGAATACACATGTCATCTGATAGATTAAAGCTTTAGCTTTCTATTGGTTATAAATAATATAGTATAAAACATCAGAGAGAACTATTGGCAGTCTGTGACAGGTGGGTGTGGCAAGTGGGTCTGATTTTCTAGTTTATGGCTCCCTAAACAAATAAGACTGAAGGCTATAAAGATTATGCTTTGCCTGAGTAATTTCCCCAAAAGGGGGGCCAAAGGTCACATGGAGAGGTCCCCTGTTTTAACCACTCACACCACAATACAGTAGTTTGTTGCCTGTCAGTAGACACTAAAATCATGCCACATAAGGGATGTTTAACAGTGCAATTTGTACTGTTGTGACATCAGTAAAACATACACATGCCATGAATCACAAGAATTGTGTACTCTGTAGGCTACAACACATATGAACTTCAAAAGCAAGAAATAAAAATATTTGTTACTCTTAATTTTGGTTTTACTTACTCTTGAAACAGAACACTTTCCAGGACCCCACAGAAGTACATCTAGTATTACTGTTATATTTTGTTACTGATGAGGAAACTATAGTAAGTAATTTATGTTAAATTCCATACTTCTTAGAGGGGTGGTAGATAAATTAGAGAAGAGGGAAGAACTAGAGGGCAAATGTCACAATTCTCATACTAGGGGAGATC